CACTACACTCTCTCTCTCTCTCTCTCTCTCTCTCTCTCTCTCTCTCTCTCTCTCTCTCTCTCTCAGTGAAAGAAATAACAAAAGGGAGAGAGTTCCATGCCCCACATGTTGGGTGCCTTCTTTCTTCTTCTTCTTATGGAGTTGTGCTCTCCCTCATGACTATATAATCTACAACCTTTTATCTATCGTGTCTTATGCATAAGGCAATCTCCAAAACCCAACTTCTTCATTGAATAAATCCTTGATTCCATTTGCTTGCTGCATTCATTATGACTATTGAGTATGCCCTTGAAACTATGCATCCACTTCATCTTACATGCATAGTCTAGACCATCCTTCATACAAATTGAGCACCATTTCCTCAACATTTTCGTCACCAATTTTTCTGAGAAATATTTTAGTATAACAGCAAGCATTTTATGACATTTTGAAAATCATTTGATGAGAACTTAATCATAGAGTGTCCCCTTTGAAAAACTACCCCTATTTTGATTACTTCATAACCATATATCCCCATTTAATGTGAGAAGTCCATACCTTATCTTTGCTTACTGTTTTGATCATCAAAAGATCATCTCTCTCTCATTTTAAAGTTAATCAAGTCATTTCAAGTGTGCATAAGCTTCCCACTTCATAAGTGAGACCAATCCTTATGATTTGAGCCATATGTGTCTTCATCCATAGGGACAAAATTAAGTCCCTAAAAGGTCTGCCTATAGGACATAGGCACAAAGCGTTCGACTATTGGCTTCCCACTGATATTTGCATTGTATTTACTGTAATTTAGAGTAATTGAATGTTTTGTGGTATGGAGACTTGAGTGTATTATATTTGGAGCATGTTTATGTTGTTATTATTTAGCCTATGTCTTAATGCAATCATATCGAAGTCCTTGGCGACCATGTAAAATGAGCTCAATCCATAGTTTCCAATGATCAAGTATTTACTGTACTTAGAGTAATTGATTGGTATGAAGACTTGAGTGTATTATATATGAAGCATGTTTGTGTTGTTATTATTTAGCTCATATCTTAAAGCTATCATATCTAAGTCCTTGGCAACCATGTAAAATGAGCTCAATTCAAAGATTCCAATGATCAAATCAATTTTGCACATGTACGTGTTTGTTTATGAAGGAAAAACTTGTACTTAATGTATTTGATGAAATTTTAAAGTAACGTATATTTTGGGAATGTGAATTGTATAGTTCTGTAATTTTGAGTACATGAGTATAGTCTTGTGTTATTCAATCACCTTGTTGAATCTTATCTTTGGACTTTGCCAAGGGACCAATTTTATTTTAAGTATAAGAAACCAAGTTTAGTGGCCGGAAATAGTATACATTGGTGCAAATGTCATGCAAATGGAGTACCATAGCATTATAATGAAAAAAACGATTTTAAATTGAGTCACTTGAACCTGGCTCAATACACATGAAGGTTAAGTAGTCTCCTAAACATAGAAAAATTCACGAGTGATTAGTCGAGATACTCAATCTGTGTGACCAAGAGAGTCTAGGGAAGGCTGGAGTTATTTTTTTAATAGAGAGAAGAGGTGTTCCACGTTAGTTTTGATGAAAAACTTAATATGATTCTCTTTGTAAAGATGTTGTCGCTACTTAAGGTCTCACAGTTCATTTGCCCATGTACCATATGGGAAAGTGTCTCACAAACGGACATATCTCCACCCACTAAGGGACGCATGGGAGGTGTTCGTTTTCTAGAAGGACCCAGTGAGATGGGAATCCTAATAGGATTAGGATTTGAATTTTAGAAAATTCCTGAAGAAATATATCTAAGCTAAAGTATTTGGATAGACATATAGATTAGATAAGGTCCTTCCAAGATAGGGAATCTTGGAAGGGGCCCATCTACATAAAGGGGCCATGTATAGAGAGAGAATACAAGAACTTTGACTTTTTTATAAGAGCATCATGGCCTCTTTCTCCTCTCTTTCCCAGCTTTTGCTTTCCCTACTTCCCAACCTGAGTTTCTCTCTCTAGAAAAAGTCGACCTGAAACCTCAAGCCGAAGGAGTCACACTTAAATGGAGCAAAAGGAACGACACCAACCGCAAGAGGGTAATCGAAATCAGAAGGGCATGTAAAATCTTTTTTATCCTTTAATTTTGAGTTCAACTGCGTTTTGGATTCATCAATGGATCCTACATTTCTAATCCCTTAATTTTGCGTTTTCTTTGCATTTGGCCAATGAACCCTATAGTCTCCTCTAGTCTTTTATGCCTAGATTGGATAGCATATCTCTTCCTTTGAGAAGTCAATGCTCCTCCATTATAAATAGCATTTTGAAATTTAGGACCCAAAAATATGCAACCCAAAGCATAAAGAATTAAAGAAATGCATGTGGAGGGTTGGAGCAAAGTAAAGTCAATCAATCCCCATTAAGGGAATAACATTGTGTAAGTCAGAAATTATTCTATTTACCAATTGTTTCATTGCATCCTAAAATGTTATATAGTTGCCATCTAATTTTTAATACCTGCAGTTGTGCTGCAATACAAAATTTGCTGGAGTCAGACATCGTTCATATTTGACACAACTTTAAAGTTTCTTTGGTTGAATACATTTATGTGAAAGACAAGGAGCAAGCTAGAGCATGGGAGATTAAAATCGCCCAATCTTTAGTCGATTCAACCTTTGGCTGCCTAGAATGGCAGTATTCTAGAACGTCTATTTAACTAGTTAAATTGATTTGAACTGTTCGTACATGCTTTCATACTAATGTTGCAGTATTGATCTGCCATATTTGGTTATCAATTCATTTCTAAGTTGGTATTGGATAACTAAGCCACTACATGACAGGAATTTGAACGAAAGCCGAAAACACAGTCACTATCACAAACAGCGCGTGAATTTTATCAAGTCAAAAAGCAATAGTATTGAGCATAGATTGTAACCCTTGCATCAGCGCTCCTTTTTTTTTTGAATGGTAACTCTTGCATCAGCTCTATTGATCAAAAGTCAAAACAAAGAAACTTTCCAGTTGAAAAACGAGTTACAGAACCAAATTGCAAACCCATTATTAAATTACACATATCACAAGTGGAAACTGTAAACCCATAAATTTTCAGGGTTTAGACCATTCATTCCATAATTCAAACACCAATAAACTAAAGTAAGGCAGATTTAGAATATAGATAGATAGAGAGAGAGAGAAGGGGGAAGAGAGGGGGGAGAACCTGTTCCGGCCGCCAATTAGGATGCGGAAATTGGGGCATTTCTTGGCAAGGGCGGTGGCTGTAGAACCACCGACACGACCAGTGCCTCCAAGAATCAAGACCCTATAATCAGAACTGGAATCCTTTTTCATCATTCTGTTATTAGGTTTTGGATTTGGGGGCTCTTTCCCTGCTCTTAAGAAGCAGGAGGTGACTCCCCAACTCATATGGGAACCACACCCCGCCATTTTTCCCCTTTCTTTCGACGGCCGGTTGGTGTCTCTAGTTTTTCCTTTCATAACTACTCCTTATCCAGTATTGTGGATGACGTGGCATATCCTGGTGAATGATGGCGTGGCCAAGCCGCGGTCCCCCTCCTTGGTTTCCAGCACCAACTCAATCTCCAAGCTTGTTTGATTGATTTTAGGGATAATTACAAACACAAAAAAAACCCAAAACCCGTCAACCTACCCCAACTTTACTATTTTATCTAAAATATAATTTCTATTTAACAAACAAGTCCATCTAATTAAAAAATAAAAAAATACCTAAACTATCTTTTTTTTTACTTTTACCTTACCCACGTCTCACTCCTCTATCCCATCAAAATAGAGGCTCCGGTATCGTATAAGTGCAGTCTGACAGTAGTATTTTGGCACTGTATAAAGTTTGGTCCGGTAGTAAGGCTCCGGCAATAGGGCTCCAGCATTGTGTAAGTGATGTCCCACAATTGAAAAGGGCTGTCCGGCAATTGCAAAGGCAGTCCATCAGCTGCAAAGGGCGGTCTGGCAGTTGCAAAAACGGTCCAGCAATGGCAAAGGGCAGCCCGGAACTTGTCGCAATATGATGGCAATGTGCTACTGGGTCCAAACGTCACCGTCAAATCTATCCAAAATGATTTTTTTTGTGTACAGGAAGGGTATTTACGCCTAACAAAATGAAGTTTTTCTATTATGGTATTTTCATAAAAAGCTTGTTTTGGAAAAAAAGTGAGAGAAAAAGTTACGTTGGGGCATTTTTTGTTTTGGAGAAAAAAGTGAGGGAAAAAGTTAGGTTAAGGTAAGTTGCATATAAAGGGTGGTCTTGGGGTTTTTTGTAATTTTCTCTTGATTCTACATATGCTTTCATTGGAAGATGAAGTCAACATCAAACCTATCCAAAATGATTTTTGTGTACGGGAAGGGCATTTCCGTTTAACAAAACGAACGTTTCCATTGGGGGTATTTGCATAGAAGGTTTGTTTTGGGCGAAAAAGTGACAGAAAAAGTTAGGTTGGGGTAAGTTGCATAGAAAGTGAGGTCTTGTGGTTTTTGAAATTTTCTCTTGATTTTACATGTGCTTTCAAAGATTGGGAGATGGCAAAGAGACCAATTTAAATTTCAAAATAGGTAGTTGTAAGAAGTCATTAAATAAAGGAAAAATTACAAAAAAAAACCCAAGGCCATATTTTCTATGCAATTTATCCCCAACCTAACTTTTTCCCTCACTTTTTTCCCAAAAGAAACTTTCTATGCAAAAACCCCCAAGGGAATTCATTTTTTTAGAAAGAAATGCCCATCGCCTACACAAAAATCATTTTGGCCATATTTGATGTTGACTTTTTGGACTCTAGTAGCACATTGTCGAAGCACACCATCACATTACTGGAGCGCATAAGTGCCGGATTGTCGGAGCGCACCATCACATTACTGGAGCGCATAAGTGCCGGACTATCCTAAGACGACTATCGGACAGAAACTGAGTACTACCGAACCACCCTTTACATAGTATTGAAGCCCTGGAATCCACTAAGATCAACTGTCGAACCACCCTTTGCAATAGTCGGACCGTCGGAGCCCTACTGTCGAACCGTACTCTACACCGTGCCGGAGTGCTATTGCCGGACACCTTTACACAGTGCCGAAGCGCTACTGCCGAACCGCACTTACACGTGCCAAAGCCCCTATTTTGGTGGGATAAAGGAGAGAGAGGCGTGGGTAAGATAAAAGTAAAGGAGGGTAGTAGTTTAGGCATTTTTTATTTTTTATTTGGTTGGGGTATTTACATAGAAAGTATATTTTGGGAAAAAAAATTAGGTTGGGGTAAGTTGCATAGAAAGTGTAGTCTTTGAGGTTTTTTTGTAATTTTCCTTTAGACAAATACAATGTTAAAAAAAAAAATTATCGGATTTCTTGACTCACCTCAAGTCATCCAATTGAACATCTGATAAGTGAGAATAATTGTGACTTCCATGTACAAAAGACAAATAATTTACTTGTAGACATTCCCTTTTTATTTTATGCACACCATAAAATGTTATGCAACTACGATTTAACCTCAGAGTTGGTTGTTCCTTGCAGTTGGTTACTCGCTCTTTGGTTAGTGAACCCAGCTACCTTTGGAGGTACAATTGAATTATGAGATGTCACCAATGTTTAGTTTAACTTATTAGGTTTAATAGCCTGCCCAATTAGGTTTAATAGCCTGCCCAAATAACAAGTGCAGCCTTTTAGAAATGAAAAAGTTTAACAATCAAATTACGGCGCACCTCAAAATTTTCATTAGATTTCAAATTTTAGAAATATTGCATTTTGTAATACATTTTCATATCGTCAATTTTTTAAATTTTTAAGTGTTCATAAATATGCTCAATCAACACTATTCTTTAAGCTTTAAATTTTATAATTAGGGAAAAAAAAAACAATTTTTAGACCATCACAAATATTTCAAGTATTGAAAATACTGTTTAAAACTTCTCTCTCACTCCTCTCTCTCACTCCTCTTCCTTCTCATGAAGCTCACGAATACCTAAAGGGTTCAAGCCTCAAATCTCTCGCCAATTAACCATAAGACATGACGAGTAAGCCATCTGGCTTAGGTGGCATAAAAACTATACGTTATATTCTAGACATTAAAAAAAAAGAAAAATTGAATTTTTAGCCCAACAAATAGGTCATCTTCTAGCACATTTTTTGAACCGTCTATAGATCTGTTTGATCATCACTATTTTTGAAATTTTAAAATTTTATAATTGAGGGCAATAATTGATTTTTCATATCATTGTAAGGCTTTGTGGCACCAAAACTACATTTTTGGCATAGTTTTTTGAGACGCATCTTACGTCAATAGTATAAGGTTGACATCTTATACAAACCTCACCCTTTCTTTAAACAAGGATACCTGGGAGTGCATGCTACCCCTCGATTTGACGAGTAACATGGTCGCCATAAGAGACAAGTATCTAAACTTCGTGTTGTTTGAAGTCAAGAATACTTTGTTATTACTCAACACCATGTGAATATTGCATTAGTTTGATGTACATTGTACTTATAATTTTATTTTTAATTAAAACATATGAATGGATTCTTAAATTTTTGGGAAGAATTACTCACGGACTATCCCTCAAGATGAGATAGTAGAGCAAATGAACAAAGGTGTGTTGAACAATGGGAGCTTCCATGGAGGCCTAGTATGGATGACAACCCAAATGTGGGCCCTAGTATGCTCTTGGTTAACCTAAGAAACGCTAAAAAAGGTAGAGACTTTGAAGAAACTTTACAGACAAAATGATGAAGTGAGGAGAGGAGGAAGGTGATTATAGAATGGCGGGTTTGGGAGGAGTTCCTAAAGACAGATGAATTATTGTCACACCCCAAGAATTTACAAGTACTGTTATTCCTGAGATGTGACAGACAAAACATATATACATCTATTGATAGGACAAA